TTAGTTTAGGTTACGTTAGTAAGTAAGTAACGAAACAAACGAACGTAAACTAAAGTAGTAGAAACGTACGTAAGTACGTAGTTTGTTTTAGTTTAGTTTACGGGGGGGGGGGGGAGGGAGAGAGAGAGAGTCTTAGTCGAAGAATATTACCTCCTAAGAGACTCTGAATAGAGAGTAATATTGTTCTGACATCATATGCGGATGACCATTTATCCTGGTTCAAGGGGAAAAGAAAAGGGACCACAATAAATAACCAAAAAGAGAGATGTAAATTGGGGAGAAAAGAAAAAGTAAGAAATAAAGGGCAAACCAACCTGGAGGATGTCCAAACAAATGTTGCCAAAGGTATCAACATTGGGATGAAAGATAATAGTCTCAAATTTAACCTTGGGTGGCTTGAATGGATAATCAGTGGGGAAAGAGAGAGACAGCTTGTAGATCATGCCTTCATACACTGTGTCTTTGCTCCCTGTGATGGTCCCTTTCCAACAAAAGATGTTGTCACCTTCCGGGAAGGCAGATATACCAGGATCTCCACACATCTGAGAAAACCCAATTCACACATCTCAGAATAGACCTAGTTTTTGTAGTATTTTATAATGCAGGAAATAAATGATGATAAATCCTAAAAACCAAAAGAAACAGAATCACCAAAGTATACGGAAAGAGTTGACAGAAAGAACCAGGCCCAAATTAGGAAGAAAATGTAAAACAGATGCCATAAAATTAGGAGGGATAGACAAATGAAGGACTAAGAAGAAACCTATACTGAAGGAAGATTGATCTTGACTTACCATCAGTGACATCAACTCCGATTGTAGCCTGTATTTGTTACAAACCCAAACAAACAGAGAGACGGAAAACGAAAGTAAGAAACCAAGCCATGAAAGAAAAACTGTCCCAATTGAAATAAAGAGAGACAAAATTTGAGATAAAAAGGAAGGGGAAGAAAACCTTCGAGAAACCGATTGACTATCGACGCCTTTGGCAGGAGGCTGAGGTTGCTTGGAGGCTGTTGGAGGTGCTGGGGGTTGAGGCATGTTGTTGTGGTATTCTGGCGAAAATCGGGCTTCAGATTGACCATTAACAGTCATGGTTCTCTCTCTATTATCAATGTGGAACCCAAAAATGGAATTGATTGCAGACGAAGAAGATTATGGAGAGAGAAAAGAAGCAAGCCCTTTTCCTTCTCTTTTCCCCTGTAGCCTGAGAGAGAGAAACAATGGAACCCAATGGGGGGGTTGCAGAAAAAGAAGATTATTGAGAGAGAAAGAAGCAAGGCCTTGTCGTTCTCTTTCTCCTAGAGAGAGAGAGAGAGAGAGAGAGAGTGGAA